ATCTTTTATAAAAATTATTTATGAAAAATATTAAATAATTTTTTAGTTGTGCGTATGTTTGTCCATGCGAGCATCAATTGATTCAAAGGATAATTAGTAGTTGACAGGTTTTCATACGCGCCTATGATGATAAACATGTGATCATTATAAGGTCTTACATGTGAATAATAAATCAATCTAAAAAGGAGTTTATTATTCGACATATCTTTTATTATCAATGTTTGATCGTTACAACAAGACTCAATATTAGTGTCCAAAAACTCAATTGTTCTTGTTTTTTAGCTACAATTGATTCAATATCTACAAATATGAATTCAGTTCTGCTCCTTACTGGAGAAAATCGCATGAATCATGGTTTGGTCTGTTTTGAGGTTAATTTAGCTTTAGTACCTGGAAACACTAGTAGTTAGATTCCGGTGTAACTACTAACATCAGTGTTTCAATGAAGGGTTGTCTAAACTACCTAAAGCCAAATGATGTTGAAAGATACATCTATGTGGGAGATGACAAGTCGGTGGAGGTGGAAGCTATAGGGTATTTTAGATTATTAATGTGTATCAGATTTTATTTGGATTTGAAAGACACTTTTGTGGTTCTGTCATTTAGATGCAATTTAATTTCGGTTTCTTATTTGGACAAATCATGTTATTCTTGTTCATTTGAAAACAATATGTTCAAGTTGTCTTTCAATTCAGATATTGTTGAAACTGGTTCACTTAAGGGTCATGATAATCTATATTTGTTTGACACAATAACTTCCTATGGCGAATCCTTGAATGTGAAATCACGTGGTACTAAGCATAAATATGATGATAACAATTCAGGAGCATTATGACACAAACGCCTAGGTCACATCTCTAAAAATAGAATTGAGCGCATAGTGTCAGATGAAATTTTGGATTCCATTGACTTCACAAACTTTAATGTTTGTGTTGAATGTGCTAAAGATAAACAAACAAAAACAAAAAAATATGGTGCACATAGAGCTACAAATGTCTTAAAATTGATACATGCAGACATTTGTGGATCATTTCATACACCTTCTTGGAATGGTAAATAATATTTTATATCATTCATAGACGGTTATTCTAGATATGCCTACATATTTCTCATCCATGAAAAGTCTCAATCATTGGATGTGTTCAAATAATTTAAGGCTGAAGTTGAGAATCAACTCAAAAAAAGAATTAAGAAATTCAAATCTAACTATGGCGATGAATATTACAGCAGATATGACAGTTCAAGTGAACAAGGTTCAAGGCCTTTTGCCAAATACTTAGAGGAATGTGGAATCGTCCCACAGTACACCATGTCAGGATCGCCTAGCATGAACGGTGTTGCTGAAATACGAAATCAAACTCTTAAGAATATGGTAAGGAGTATGATTTGTCATTCTACCTTTGCAGAATCACTTTGGGGAGAGACACTAAAGACTGCAGCTTATATTCTAAATAGAGTACCAACAAAAGCATCTTCTAAAACACCTTACGAGCTTTGGACTGGGGAGAAAGCTAGTTTAAAACATTTTCATGTATGGGAATGTCTAGCTAAGGCAGGGCCTTATAGGCCAAATGAAAAGAAATTAGACTCCCGAACAATGAGAAACTATTTTATTGGTTATTCTGAAAGATCTAGGAGATACAAATTTTATGATCCCAAATTCAATTCAATTTTTGAGACGGGAACATCCACATTCTTTGTGGATATTGAGTCTAGGGGGAAGAATAAGGTTAGAGACTTTATTTTAGAGGAAGAATTGGTAACAATTCCAGAACCGATTCATACCATTGATTTTGATCAAGCAAATATAGAACTTCTATAAGACATTGTTTATTTTCATCTTACTCAAGATGATTTCGTAATTCATGAAGAACAAACTCAAAAGTCTCAAGAACAGGTGTTGCAAGAACCAATACCTTTACGGAGATCCATTAGAGAAAGGAGAAATGTTATTCATGATGATTACATAGTCTTTCTCCAAGAACATGAGGAAAATGATAGTATGATAGAAGATGATCCAATCAACTTCTGTCAAGCCATGCAAAATTTCAAATCGGGAAAGTGGATTGAAGCAATGATGGAGGAGTATAAGTCCATGCAAGACAATAAGGAAACTTATCTCATTACCAGAAAGTGTGAAACCCATTGGTTGCAAATGGATTTTTAAGACCAAACAATATTCTGACGGTAATGTGAAGAGGTATAAGGCCCGTCTTTTGTCTAAGGGATTGACTTTAAAGAGACTTTCTCTCTGATTTCATCGAAATACTCTTTTAGGACAATCGTGACTTTTGTTGTACATTATGATTTGTAACTCCATCAAATGGATGTCAAGACGACATTCCTCAATGACAACATTGATGAAACGATCTATATGGTACAACCAAAAAACTTTGTATCGGGAGACTTGAAAAATATGATTTGCAAGTTGACAAAATCCATTTATGGACTAAAGGAGGAATCTTGTCAGTGGTACCACAAGTTTCATGAAGTAATTCGCTCATTTGGTTTTGAGGTGAATATTGTTGAAGATTGTGTGTATCATAAATTCAGTGGGAGCAAGTACATTTTCCTTGTCTTGTATGTCGATGACATACTACTTGCTGCTAATGATATATGCATGATGCACAATACTAAGAAATTTCTGTCAAGAAAATTCGAAAAGAAAGATCTTGGTGACGTCTCTTTTGTATTAGGAATTCAGATACATCGAGACCGATCTCGGGGTCTTTTAGGATTATCACAAATGAGCTATATCAAAAAAGTACTTAAAAGGTTTGACATGCAGGAATGTAAATCAGGGGATGCCCCAATTGCTAAGGGAGACAAATTCAGTCTTAATCAGTGCCCAAAGAGAAATTTAGAAAATATAAAAGATTTCGTATGCGTCGACAGTAGAGAGTCTGATGTATGCCCAAGTATGTATGCGTCCGGATATTGCGTTCATAGTTGGTATGTTAGGCAGATATTTGAGCAACCCAGTAATTGATCATTGGAAAGAAGCCAAAAAGGTTATGAGGTATTTAAAGAGAACAAAAGAATATGTGCTCACATATAGGAGGTCAGACAAGTTAGAGATCACTGGATACTCTGACTCAGATTTTGTTGGATGCCATGATAGCAAAAGATCTACTTCAGACTATATATACATGTTAGCTAGTGGTGCAGTTTCTTGGCACAGTGCCAAGCAAACTCTTACGACTTCATGCACCATGGCAGCAAGTTTATAGCATGTTATGAGGTATCCAATCATGGAATTTGGCTGAGGAATCTTGTCACTGGGTTACGAATTATGGAAGAAATTGAAAGACCACTTAAGTTATATTGTGACAATAAATCAACCATCCTATACTCCAAAATTAATAGGAGTTCGACCAATTCAAAACATATTGACATCAAGTTCCTAGTTGTTAAGGAAAGGGTACAAAATAAACAGATTTTTATAGAACACTTGGGAAAAAACTCCATGATAGCATGTCCTCTTACAAAAGGTCTTCCATCCAAGGTCTTTCACTAGCACACCGCTCGCATGGGTGTTTTACCGTTAGAGGAGTCTTTGGTTTAGTTGGAGTTAGTCATTTATGAAGTTTATGTTCTATATTTTGGTATTATGTATGCATATTATGGTTTTGGATATTTTCAAATTAATAAAGTTTGATATTCAGTAGTTTACATTTTGTACAATAAAGTTATTGAATGATCTCACTAAAGTAAAGTAGGATCAGTTGAAAATCGACATATATAGACCAAATTCATGTGATTTTCATGCTACATATTTCATGATGGATCTATGTCATTTAGTTGTGTCACTATTGATGATCATTGATGGGTTTAGTTATGATTGCTATAACAAAAACCACTTTGATTCTGAATAGTGACATGATTAATGGATAAGATAATTTGGACATACTTAAGAAATATAATGGCGAATTTTGAACTCAAAGTCTAACACATGTATATGATTACATATGTGACCAGTGGATATTGTTAGAACTTTGGGTCATATATGTAATATTTAAAATGTTAGTGCCATTATTTTAATTAGTTAAGACTTAAAGGGTCTAATTAATATAATATTAAATTTGTGGCTAAAAATATAAATGTCATGAAATGTCATATTATTGTGTAGATACCATAAATCGATACCTAATTTGATGAGGGGTTAAATTAGAATATTGACTACTAAGAAATAACTCTAAGGTTATTTATAGGGGTTATGGTTCCCATTTGTAGACAACCAGAAAAATAGCTTATCAAAAATTATGTGTTCATCTTCATCAGAAGAGAATCCAAGAGCCATAAAATATTCTACAAATTAGACAATCACATACCCGCAAATCTTCAATAATTTTTAATGACCAATTTAGATACGCTTCTGCTTCCATTCTCATAATTATATTCAAATATAGGTTTAAATATTTTATTTAGAATTATGTTCTTGATTTCTATACTGATAGAAATTATAAAATTTATCAACGGAATCTAACATTATTTTTTATTTATTAATAAAATATTATTTAATAAAATTTTGTTCTCCATTTAAACTTAACAAGAGTCCTTAATTTGTCTGAAATAGTAAAAACGTCGTTTAATTTAGATTTGAGTACATTCAAATTTTTCTCATAAAACTCTAATTCTTAAGCGCAGTTTTGCTTGTGTGAGTGTTTTAATGCTGAGAATACAAATTACGATTCTTACTCAAATATATAAAAGAAAATATCATGAAAAATATTTTAAAAAGAAACTTTTTCATAATAACTATTAATCGGTAAATTTCTTTAGACAAGACAACGAATATATTTGATATACTACAAAAAATCCCTCATTCATAACTTTGTTTCGAAATAGATATGTGATATGTATTTTACAATCGATTGATATGTGAAATATCTTGTTGGAAGATTAATAATTACCGCAAATTACTGCTTTTGTTCATCCTCCAACATTATTTAGTCTTTGAAATTTATTACACTTAAAACATGCATGCATGGTTGATATAATCAGTTACCATTGCTGGAAACCTCTCCACTAACGTAACCACCGCCACCTCCTCCACCACTGTATCCATCGCCATGGTAACCGCCATAACCACCATTGTAGCCACTGCTACCACCATAGTGTCCACCATAGCCACCACCATGGTATCCACCATTGTAACCTCCACCACCGTCGTGGTATTCTCCATGATAACCACCGTAGCCTCCACGGTAACCACCAAAGGCTCCACCATAATATCCATAGCCTCCATAACCATCATAGCCTGCGTCATAGCCTCCGTAACCACCATAACCATCGTACCCAAATTGTTTGGCATCATTTACTTCATCTGAGTTTTCAACAACCTCTGCAAATACAACAATTCTTAAACTATTTGATTATATATGTAAGAAAAAATAAAATAAAAACTAATGTATAGCTAGCTCACCCTCTTTGTTGGCATTAGTGGAAGTCTCAGTTAATGCCCTAGCTGATACCTGTGAAGAAATTAGAAGAAATATGGCTAATAGGCCAAGGATGAGGAATGATTTTTTAGAATCCATTGTACTCAAATGTATTATTTGGTAGTGAAAGATGAAAAAAATAGTAAGAAAGTGTGGTCTTTATATAATGGAAAGAAGGAGGAATGAATAAGGAATCATTACTTGGTAGTTGGGATGGAGCTAATCTGTGTTAATTAAATCTTGATTGATTTTAAGTAGTAACGGTTGGAGAATATGAAATGAAGCACTGCAGTTGTTATGTATGTTATGTCTACATGCAATTTGAGGAAAATTATAGTTTAGATATCAGAATACTTCTAGTCAACCTTAGCTATTTAGACATTTATATTCCTAAATGTGTATGTTATTTAGTTTTTCTCAAATATGTTTTCATTTGTTATTTTAATTATAAATTAAAATTAAAAAGAAAAGAAACACTTTATAAAATATTTGCAACTTTAACACATTGAAAAACTATGTAGTTTAGAATTAATTATCGTATAAAAAAGAAACCGACAGTAAAACGAATATAGTATACTCCTAGGTTGTCATAGAAATTGAATGGAAAAAATCTTTAGATGACATTATTTTTTTGGTCTTTTAATATATCTTTGGTCAAGAAATTCTTTAAGCTAATGCAGGGAGAATTTGAGATGAGCACGATGGAGGAGTTAAACTACTTCCTTGGACTTCAAATCAAGCAACTAAATGAAGGCACATTCGCGAGTCAAACGAAATATTATGACTTACTCAAGTGATTCGACATGACAAACTCAAAAGCAATCGATACTCCTATGCATACGGTCGTGAACTTAGACCGAGATGAAAATGGCAAACCCGTCGACATAAAAAGGTATAGAGATATGATTGGTTCTCTTCTATATCTTACGACTTCTCGTCCAGATATCATGTTTAGTGTTTGTATGTGTGATCGGTTTCAATCATGTCCTAAGGAGTCACATTTAAAAGTCGTAAAGCGCATACTTAGGTATCTCAGTGGTACAACTAAGTATAGACTTTGGTTCTCCAAGGGTAGTGATTGTTCTTTGGTTGCCTATTCCGATTCTGACTTTGCCGGGTGCAAATCAGATAGGAGAAGCACTAGTGGTACTTGGCATTTCTTTTCAAATTCTTTGGTCAGTTGGCATAGCAAAAAGCAAGTTTCCGTTGCTTTGTCAACCGTCGAAGTGGAATACGTTGCATCCGGTAATTGGTGTGCCCAAATCTTGTGGCTCAAACAACAATTTTTTGACTTCAATGTCCGACTTGATCACATTTCTATTTTTTGTGACAATACAAGTGCTATCAACCTAACAAAAAATCTGATTTTGCACCCTCGCACAAAACATATTGAGATTAGGCATCATTTCCTAAGGGATCATGTGGAAAAGGGCGATGTCATTTTCGAGCACGTTGATAGCAAAAATCAACTTGCCGACATCTTTACTAAACCACTCGCTACGGAACCTTTCTTTCACATCCGTAGGGAACTTGGTGTTCTCGATATCTTGGATAGGTTGCAACTTAATTAAGTTGCATGCTCCTTATTTTATTGCATATGTTCCCTTAATGCTTGATGTACTTATTGATAGTTTTAGTGAAAGCTCTCATCAATCTTCATGAAGGTAATATCGTTCCCATCTATTTTCTACTCTTGATTATGTGTAAATTCTAAACTTGCTCTACTTTATGTATTTTTCATCCATTTCATAATTGTTAAATGAATAGGCCTTCTATTTATTATATGAACTGCATGAAATCAATTGAAAAAGTTGCAAGAATCAAACACTTTTATGATTGAATCGACTCATAGCATGTATGCGTCGACGCATACCAAATTATGCACACAAAATTTATCTTTATTGTCTTTCAAACCTACTTTGTGTTTGTTTCGTATCTTAATCTCATTTGATATGTAATGTACTAAATGATTATGTATAATTATTAACATTTTATGCTCTGCACTAATCTCATTTTATGTGAATGATTGTTAGTGTATTAAGTTGCAAATAGATGATGACTACGCGTTTGAATAATTTTGTTACTCTTGACCTCATGTTTTTTCTCTTTTTGATGATGTCAAAGGGGGAGAAGAGAATATACAAAGAAGATTGTGTAAAAGCTTGCAAGCAGTGCTTTACGGAATGCACAAATTCAGGGGGAGCATATTTGAGCATAAATTTAAAGTTTTGTCATCATAAAAAAGGGGGAGTATGTGAGAGCAAGGTCCCTCTATATGTGTTTTAATGATGTCAAAACGATTATTACTCACTCTCCATTTGGGTTGGTCCTATGAACAATCTTACTATGAAATGGTTGGAATGAAGATCTCCAGAAACATTCATTTTTGGGAAATTCAATATTTGCGTTGACTCAAAGATATGTGCGGTCGACTCATCATTCTCAACCAAGCTCGGAATGTGTCGCTTTGACCCTTCCGGTCGACTCAATCTGGGAATCAAAATATTCAACTATTGCATCAACGCAAGCCCTGTAGCGATCGATGCACTATACTTCAAAATGGGGTTCCTCCATCTACAGGATGTGTCACGTCGATCCTTCTGGTCGACTCAACATGGGAATCAAAATTTTCAAATATTGCGCCGATGCAAGCTCTGTAGAGATCGACGCGCACTACACTTCAAAATGGCTTTCCTCCACCTGCAGGTCGTGTCGCGCCGACCCCCCTTACTGCTTGAGTCGACTGCTCGCTGCTTTCAACTGTTTTTCTTCTATGCTTTTGGGTCTTGACTATTAGGTAATATATATATATATATTCATTGAGTATATATATATATATATATATATATATATATATATATATATATATATATATATATATATATATATATATATTCATTGAGTATCATCATTTCAATTCAACAAGAACTAGTGAAAGATACACATAATGCTCATCCTCTCTTCTCAAAAATCAACATCTACACATAATCATGGTCGTTGATTCAAGAAAAGTGATATGGTGATAACGTTCATATCAAGGATTCAATTTAGATTTGGGTTGAACAATTGTGGGATGTTCTTGAATAAAATCGTTTCGATTTTCTCCTCCAAAATTCCAATTGGTTTGGGGGTTTTTGCACAAGTCTTTGCTTCATTGGATTCAGCCGAGTGAAAGGATTAAGAAACGGTGGGTTTTATTAATCAAGTAGTGGTAACCGGAGAATTGTGAAGATAGATTTGGGGTCAAATTACTTATGATTTAAATCAGCCAAGTGAAAGGATTAAGAAACAGTGGATTTGCTTAATCAAGTAGCGGTAACCGGATTTTTGTTCCAAGAATTTGGCACTTGGTTTGGCTAAAATCAAGGAAAGGGAAGAAGACTGATACATCAGCAACATTGGTTTGTTTGTATTGTGAACTATCTCTTCTCTTGTAACATTTTCAATTTAATATAAAATATCTCAATTCTATATTTTAGAATTGGGGACAAACGTACCCTACGCGAGGACGACAAGGGGAATTGCCTTAACAAATCGTGTGTTCTTCTTCTTTTTCTTTATTTCCATACTTGATTACTATAATTTGTGGAAATTAACTTGTTAAATTTACTTGTATTAAAATTATGGTGTGTTGAGATCATTTCACAACATTGGTAACTATCCATTTGATTGATACCTAAGAAAACTCACTACTACAATTTAGTAAAATCAAACCTAAGGTATTTTGCACATAAGGCGTTTGACAAATTAACTCATCCATAAATTATTCATTGTATTTAGCTTTATCTTAATCAACTCATTGGAAATAATTCATACTCATTGAGGGTTCATACTCATTGAGAGTGTATAACTAATTGACCAATTGAATAAAAACTATTGATTCTTACTTTTTCACCTTATCTCATACAGTTACGTATATTCGATCCTTTACAAGTCTTATACAAATATAAAACATATAATATCATGAAAAATATTTATATATATGAAAAGACTCTTTTACAAATAATTTTTTAATGGGTAAATTTCTTTGACAAGGATAATACTTGATATATTATACGCACAATCACACATTCCAACTTTATTAGCCGAAATCAAACTCATTACCACATATACATAGTGATAATGTATTTTACAAACAATTTGTAGGGATGTGAAATATCTATTGGGAAGATTAATAATACATAACCGCAAAACAATCATGTTTGTTCATCCCCCAACATTATTGTCTTTGAAATTTAGTACACTTAAAACATGCATGCATGGTTGATATAATCAGTTATCATTGTTGGAAACCTCTCCACTAACGTAACCACCGCCCCCACCGCCTCCTCCACCACCACCACCGCTTCTTCCATGACCACCATAGCCTCCTCCACCACCGCCGCCACCACCGCCACCTCCATGTCCGTAACCACCACCATGGTAACCACCATTGCCACCATTGTAACCACCGCCGCCATGGTATCCACCATTGCCACCATTATAACCACCATTGCCGCCATGGTAGCCACCGTATCCACCGTGATCTCCGTGGTAACCACCGTATCCTCCATGGTAACCACCATAGCCTCCGCCATAGCCTCCACCATAGCCTCCGTAAACAAATGTTTTGGCATCATTTACTTCATCTGAGTTTTCAACAACCTCTGCAAATACAACAATTCTTAAACTATTTGATTATATATGTAAGAAAAAATAAAATAAAAACTAATGTATAGCTAGCTCACCCTCTTTGTTGGCATTAGTGGAAGTCTGAGTTAATGCCCTAGCTGACACCTGTGAAGAAATTAGAAGAAATATGGCTAATAGGCCAAGGATGAGGAATGATTTTTTAGAATCCATTGTACTCAAATGTATTATTTGGTAGTGAAAGATGAAAAAAATAGTAAGAAAGTGTGGTCTTTATATAATGGAAAGAAGGAGGAATGAATAAGGAATCATTACTTGGTAGTTGGGATGGAGCTAATCTGTGTTAATTAAATCTTGATTGATTTTAAGTAGTAACGGTTGGAGAATATGAAATGAAGCACTGCAGTTGTTATGTATGTTATGTCTACATGCAATTTGAGGAAAATTATAGTTTAGATATCAGAATACTTCTAGTCAACCTTAGCTATTTAGACATTTATATTCCTAAATGTGTATGTTATTTAGTTTTTCTCAAATATGTTTTCATTTGTTATTTTAATTATAAATTAAAATTAAAAAGAAAAGAAACACTTTATAAAATATTTGCAACTTTAACACATTGAAAAACTATGTAGTTTAGAATTAATTATCGTATAAAAGAGAAACCGACAGTAAAACAAATATAGTATACTCCTATTTAACAAAAAATTGTCTGAGTAAAAAAAAAACGAAATTTGTCTCGTTCAACTAAACAACAGAGCTAAAATCTATTCTATTAGATGTCGTTTATTTTATTTTAATTTTTGATTAAAAAAATCACATTTTTATATATTTAAAGCACCAATTTTTTTCATTCTTCTCCTAAACCAAACCATCTTTCTACTTTCAAACATCACTTTTATTTATGAATCCATATTTTTCTCTAAACTCAAACTTTCTTTATTGTTGATTTTGTTGTTGTTGTTATGAATTAGTAGTTTTCATTTTAGAAATAATTTCTCAATGTTGTCGTCAAAGCAAACATTTAATAGTTTATTGTTTGTTTTGTTTGACATTATTAAAAAACATATTTTTAATCACAGTGAAAGGATATTGTAACAAAAAAAAAAAAAGCAGGAATGATAGGAAGTTGTATGTGATATTTCTTATCAAACAATATTTTTTTTCTTGCAATATAAGTCATATATTCTCTCGATATAGTTGACAAGCAAGGGAAAAATCTCATAAGAACACACTTTAAATTTCAATAATTTGTATTTATGATTTTATTTCTTTTTAAATGACGCTCTTATTTTATTTTATTTTTTATTTAAACAATTAATCACTTATTCCCATAATTGTATTCCCCCACTAAGAGGACTTCTAAACCATATTGTCTCAGATATCAATGTCAACCAAAGTGAAAACTCCCAGAAACATTGTTTTTTAAAACACCATCTTCCAAGTCGAACAAAATAAAAAAATGAGGGAGAAAAATCTAACGAAACGCGAAGAAGGAAACTCAAACCAAATCATTTATTTGATTCTTTCATAATGTTACGGGTACATAAATATTTTCTCTATGGTTGTACTAGTAATGTTGTTGTTATCACTACTACAAAAAATGATTTTATCCTCGGACGCGAAATACACATTTTACCTCAGCTACAGAAGTAAGGTGAAGAAGGACGTCATAAAAAGTAAGGACTTAATACCTCGGATTTTAAAACACCGAGAGGATAAATTTATTTGCGCATAGTTCAATCTCCACCATCTTTATTTTTATTATTTATAATAGTAACGACTCATATATCTTGGTTTATCAATAAAACCAAGGGGTAAATTATATATTTTTTAAATTAAAACTCGTTACATTGTTTACACATAAAATTAATAGAATAATTTATTTACAAACTACATTGTTTACCCAGAATATTACATTGTTTACATAGAAAAAATTAATTTCCACAAGATATAGATTTTAGATCTTCAAAACATATAATTCTGGGGAAGATCAAATGTTGGATGGCAAGATATTTTCAATTGATTTTGATTGTATTTGTTTCTGATATGAACAACAAAAAAAGAGTTAGACAAAAAAAGAGTTAGATTATTAAATAATTTTTTGCTCAAATAATTAACTACTACAAAAAAGGGAAAAGACAACGCTTTTTTAGGCTTTTAACAGCGCTTTAAAGCGCTGCCTAAAGTAGTGTTGCTAAAAGAAAATACAACGCTTTTTTTTCAATGTAAAAGCGCTTTCTTATGCCCACTTTAGACATCGCTTTTAGAATAGACAACACTTTTTTATATACTCCTTTAGCAGCGTTTTTGCTTTAGACAGCGCTTTGTTATTTTTTAAGTTAGACTTTAGACAATGCTTTCCTTTAAAAACGTTGTCTATTCCTCCACTTTAGACAGCGCTTTCACACTTTAGGCAGCACTTATTTTTGAGTTTTTACAGCGCTTTTCTCCTAAAGCGCTGTCTATTGTTCAAGATTTTTTTAAAAATAAAATATCTATTTTGACTTACAAAAGCGCTGTCCAATATATATAATGTATTTTAATAAGAATTTTAACCATATTTGAATCAGGTTTTCACCATATTATGCACCATATTTGGTAGTTTCATTCCAATAAAATATGCATATATAAAAATTACATATATATATATATATATATATATATATATATATATATATATATATATATATATATATATATATATATATATATATATATATATATATATATATATATATATATATATATATATATATATATATATATATATATATATATATATATATATATATATATATATATATATATATATATATATATATATATATATATATATATATAAATTGATGATATATACAACAATAACTACAAAATTTATGATACAAGTTAAAATGCTATAAGTTAAAAATCCTAAAATTCAAAATTGATGTTACATTTGTACATCTTTCTATCTTCGAGAATTCTCATGAAACAACAACAACATGAATATCTTAGCTCTATCTTCTACACATGCACCTTTAAACCTGGAAAAAAAAACTAAATGATCGAAATACATAACATGATAATATTAACGTTGCACTTTATTCGAATTTAATTTATACTCAAAACTCGAAAGTTCTAATCAAAGGAAATAAGACAATATACCTTAGCTTATAAAATTCTCAACCCGATAATGAATTGACACCATTCCTCCATAAGTTCATCCAATTGTTCTTTTGATTAATGTGCACAATTGAATTCCTCAAAGTACTACATATATAATAATATAACATAGTTTGTGATTTAGTTAAAACAATATGTCATTTTATGAGAAACACAAAATATGAAAATAGTATGTAATTCCTAAGTTAGAAATCCATACCGTGGATGGAATCTCTAATCGATCCAAAAAAATAGTTTCTTTCATAAACCTCAACATAAAATAGCCGCAATCTATACCGTTACGCTGGCGAGGATACTACACATGGAAAAAAAATACGAATATATATATCAGGATATACCCCTTAAATTGTTTTATCAAGTATCATCAGTAATGTAATCAAAACTCAATATCTCTTTGTGAAAATATACCTCCACTCTGATCCATGTAACGTTGTTTGCTCTACTTTTGGCACTTGAATATCTCTTTAGGAGCGAAAAGCTAGTAGAACGCTATAATAAAATATAAACGACTGTTTAGAACAATCTCACATAGAAACATAAACATAAACACAAATCCATATATGTTGACCATAAACATAAACATAAACTTGAATATCTCTTTGGGAGCGAAAAACTTACGTGTCAATCATCTGTTTCAAATCTGGATATATTGACCAATCATTGTATAACGAATCCAGTTAGGATGAAAAATGGAAAATTATAACAGATCAAGTTAGGATGAAAAACATAATTGTCATTAAAAACAAATATCATCACATATGGTACATGTATCTCACTCCATATTTTACCTTTAGCGTCGTCCAACACTCTTGCTCTCCAATCTTCACATGTAATTTGAATTTCTCTCCTTACCACCGAACCGAGATAACTCGTCAATGTTGAACCGTTAGGTTCAATTAGTTGGCCTTCTTGATTCCAATACACATCATACTTTATGTCTTGGTCTCTATCCCTAATTATTCTCTTCATTATTGTTATTCCTCGTCTATATTCCATTTCTGTTTTACTAACGGCCTTATCTCCATCATACACAGAATCATCACGTGGGTGATCGTCGTTAGTAACCATCTAACCTGTAATAAACATAAACATAAACCCAATATAAAATTCCATAGTCATTTAAATATATATAAAATGAAAATGCTAAAAATTAACATAAACATAAACTTAAACGTAAACACAAACATAAACATAAACATTTTAATATGCTACCTCTTTCACTAACATCTCTTTCTTTTCTTGGTTGGAACATGAATTACTTGTTTCTTAACAATGCGGACAAATGGGTTTATCCAAATTCCCTCATTATGATTATTTCTGATATATGATTCACCCGCTATAATATTCTCATCTTGATCATTTATAATATACGACTCATTTCGTCTAATACATGACTCATTCTCATCATCAATATCACCTTGGTCTACACCGTTATCATCAACCACTTTGTTAGATAAAAGCACTATAGACCATTTTGTACTCGCCGGGTCAGTGACATAGAACACTTATTTAGCTTGAGAGGCTAGAATAAAAAGCTCGTCTTTGTACCCCTCCCTATTAAGATCTAGTTGCAAAAATCCTGACTTATCCATTCGTATGCCACCACTACTTACCCATTTAAAACCAAAGATAAGAATCTGAAACTTCTCGTAATCAAACACCCAAATATGCTCGATAACCCCAAAATATGACAGATTTGCATATTTTGGGTTTAGGTCCTTCATACTTGAAATGTGCATTGCTTCAGCAAGCACGGTGATACCATTATTTTGCATAGTACTTTTATCATCTTGTTCTTTGGTATAAAATGTGTATCCATTATTTGCATATTCGCTATAGGAAAACACATGCAAACTTGGACCATATGCCAAACATCTCAACCTTTCTGTTATTGAAGCGGGATCTGAATGAAGCTTTGAAAAATATGATCCTTAAACCATGGTATAAAACTTTGATTGTCCTTCCGTACTATCCAATTTTCATTTCTTTTCTGATTTAACCCTCAGAGTACATCCTTGTGCATTTCAACATATGACTCAACCTCACTG